CTGCACAGATGCTTCTGTTGCTGTAATTCACTCTGTTGCATGAATCACCTCGGGCACCTGAAAAATAAAATTATTTTTAAGTCAGATTAGGGAAACAGTTACAGTGAAATTTGACTGTTTTTATTGAAATATAAACTTACAAACTAACGCAGAGCAAAACTCCTCAAATCCTTTTAAAGCACATGAGTAGCTGTTTGAAGTGTCATATGGCACGTCATAAGAAGAAGATCTGGCTCCAATCACTTGTTGTCCATTTTTGTACCAGACATAAGATGAAACATAAGGATCACACCTGGTGACACAATACAACTGTCCTCCAGTCGACACACTGACCTGAACATCTTGACCAGTGGACAAGAAACAATAAATAAGATGTCAGTCACTCTCACACTGAGACAGATAAGGGATTTCAATTTTCAGATCTAAAACAATGAATTAGTGGGGAAAAAATAGTAATTATCTTGATGTCTAAACATGAAATCTCACAAAAACTTTAGAAAATATATCATTAAAAAGCACAGTAGAACATACAGATAGAATGTTAAGCTGACTAAATATCCATCAGTGTGTGTTGATCAGTACCTGTGACAGTCAGAGTTGTTCCACCTCGGACACCTGAAACATAAAATGATATTGAAGTCAGATTTAGAAAGTAGTTACTGTGAGTTTGACTGTTTTTATTCAGATGTATGTAGTGACTCTACAAGATGGTTTTATGTTACTGAAATAAACTCACACACTGAAGGAGAGGGGAAATCTTCACGACCTCTTACAGCACAGGAGTAGCTATCTGAAGGCTTCAGATTGACTGAATACCGATTCTGGTTTCTACTAGAAACCTTGTGTCCATTTTTGTACCAGATGTAGGAGGAATGATCGTGCAGTCGACAACTGCTCTGACAAGTCAGTGTTGCCCAGTTGGAATTAGATGATGTGTCCACGTGTACCTGAAGAGCTGAATATGTGAAGAAATAAAATCAGAGCAGAAACTTAGACATCTATTATCCATATCCAAACACACACAGTTATGTTCATAACAATTTCTGACTGATGTGTAATTAAAAATGTTACCTGTGACAGTCAGAGTGACTCCAGGTAAACCAATAAAATCTTCCCAGTCTGTTTCAAACTTGAACTTGTACACAGCTGAGTCGCTCTCTCTCAGGTCTCTGATTGTCAGAGTGCAGTTTTTCCAATGAGAGCTGTACGACACTCGACCTGCATACGCTGGGTCTGTTTTCAGATCTTCAGGATTATAATTGTTCACTTTAGTGAACCAAACTCTTTTTAACACATTTACTCTTGAAGGGTAATTGAACCAGCAGCCTATGACCACTGTTGATCCTTTTACAGCACAGATCTGAGTAGAAGTGTAAGTCACTGCATAATCATTCTGACTCTGCACCACTGTAACACAGAACACATCAGAAACTAGATTAATGACAACAACAAACATATATTGTTTCAGTAAAAGTTCTGAGAACCTTTCCTCACA